TAGGGAAAGGAAGGGGGTCAAACATATGGTGACGGAAGACTGGGCACACGATGCAATATACAGGCAATGGATTATAGAACTGAACACTTAAAATCTATATGTTATTAACCAAGGTCATCCCAAATAAGTTTAATTTTTAAAAAGTCACTTAGATCTCCTTCACTGCTGGTGGGAATGCAGACTGGTGCAGCCACTGTGGAAAACAGTATGGCATTTCCTCAAAAATTTAAAAATGAAACTGCCATTTGACCCAGTGATCCCATTTCTAGGAATATATCCCAAGAAACCAGAAACACCAATCAGAAAGGATATATGCACCTGACCGTGTGCTTTTCTCGGACACTTCCCCCTGGACTCGGGCTTTAAGCGTTGGCAGGGGTGGTGGGTGGTGGGTGGTAAGAGATCAACCGAAGGACTTGTATGCATGCATATAAGCATAACCAATGGACACAAGACACTGGGGGCGGGGGGAGGCCGGGGGAAGGTCAATGGGGAAAAAAAAGGAGACATATGTACTATCTGTAATACTTTAAACAATAAAATAAAAAAATTTTTAAAAAGTCACTTGCAGAACTAGCGACATCGGCAGATTCCCAGAAGTAGCTGTTTAACTGGCTGCCGAAGGTTTCCTTGTGGACATGCGGCTCTCATGATCGCGAACTCTATGTAAGCGAGAACCAAACACCTACCGTGAGAAATTGTTCCCTGCGGTTGGTGCACGGACCGCGCCAGAAACGCGCCCCGGGACGGGATCCCGGAGTCACGGCTACCTAAGGATAATATTAACAAAATATATTCAAGATCTCCATATTGAGACCTTTAAAATGTTGCTGAGATTAATTAAATAAGACCTATATACCCGACCCTCGGGCTTCTCGCCCTCAACCCCGATCTTTCCGCCTTCTCAGGCCTGGCCTCCCTATCTGGCCCTGAGGGGAAACTGCCCTGCACACGTTTGGGGCAACCTCTTCACCCTTTCTAGGTCGCCGTCTCATGGTCGAAACATTTGGACTTTTTTTCCATCTAGAAAATAGCTTGGTGGTGTCGGGGGCGGGGGTAGAGGAGGGGAGACCCTAGGGATGTCCTGAGCTTGAACCCGGCGCTTTGCTGGGCGTCCTCCCTCTCTCCGGGTCCGGGCCTTGGCATCTCTAAGTATGTGACCTTGAACCGGACACCTGCCGTCTTGAAAAGTAGTTTCTGTTGTTTTTCTTTTGACTTGATGGGAAGTGCGTGTTGGAAAAGAAAGGCCTTGCCGAATGCCGGGTCCGGCGCGAGAGGCCCAGCGGGCCCAGCCTGTGCGCATCCCTGTTCGCAGGTGCACCTGCCTGAGCTGCTCCTGCGATCGATTCCCTCCGGGAGCGGGGAGCGGGGGGCAGAGCCGAGCCGAGCCGAGCCGAGCCTGCCCCTGCCCCGGGTCTGCGGGACAAGTCCTGTCCTACAGCCTCAGGGCCAGGCGCCTCCTCTCCCGGGAGGAGGAGGCTCTCAGAAGCGGAGGTGCCTTTTAATTGCAGAAGATAAGAAAGGCCCGGGGCCCTGGTTCTTCGTTCCCAAATATAGAACCGGTTGTTTCCAGGCCTCTCGTCCGTGGAGAAATTTTAACTGCAGTTCGAATGTTAACTTGTGTTTTCTCTCCCTGGATGAAAAGCATGTGCTTCTGTGTCAATGTCGTTAGCTAATGAGATCCCAGAGCAAAAATCCCTTAGGAAATGGGTTTGGAAAGAATTAGAACCATTTAGTTGTACTCGGCAGTTTTTCCCCCATGTAGTTAAATTGGGGGGGCGGGACAGCTTCTATCTTTTTGGTTTCAACCGCGTGTGAATTGGTTTTGCTGTTCTTTCCAAAAGGAAATCGTGTGTTCTATTCCTTCCTGTGCGATAGGGCTGCCTCCTTTTAGGATCTAGGAAGTTTGGCTGTACTCTGCTCCCTTCTGGTGTTCAAAGTTGTTTTCTGGGGATTCAAAACCGTATTTTAAAACTCAATTATTTATATTTTTCCAAGTTTTCAGTAATTTTTATTAAGCTAAAGTTAGTTTTGGATTGCTACACCCTGACTTTCTAATAAACACATCCTTTTAAGGATCGTTGCTTGGAAAGAGACCTGAAACAGGTGACCTAGATTAAAACTTTGAACTAGGTCCACACAATGGGTGATAAAGAACCGGACCTTTTTTTTTGTAATTAGACAATTATATAAATCTGTGCAACCATGATCAGTTTGACCCAATTTGTTTCTGTCACTCCCTATGCATTTTCTCTGGGTCCCAGTGTTTTGACATAGAAAATAAGAAAGTCAAGCATGAACCATTATGCTCCAAAATTGGGATACTTTCCATGAGTGGGCCGTGACTGACTTGACCCTGGGTGGTGTCTGATTGAGGGTTTTAATAATAGTTTTTGTTATGTGTATTTAAACTGTGGTTTAAGGTACTGATGTAAAATTTCCTTTATAAAAGTTGGGTTAAAGAAAAGATTAGTGTAAGAGTAAATGTGCTGTGTGAATATGGGTAAAACCATGAAGTTGGCAAATTACTGATATTTGGGAGCCACTGGGCTTAAAAAGTAGAGCTCTAAGATCACCTGTGATTCTGAGAGAAATTTTGTGTCCTTAGTTTTATAACAGGATATCAGTACTGGTTACCTAGTAGATTCTAAGGGAGAAAACTTCAAGAATTAATATCTCCACTCCAAATGAGAAGTTTCTTTATTGTCAAAATATATTACCAAAAATGTCATAGTCTAATGAGGGAAAGTAAAAAATTAGATTTTGATTTATTTTACATAAGCAGAATCCTAATAATTGGGACAGTTCAGCATTAAATCTTTGTAGAAAAGTTTCATTTACTCTTTAAGTAACTCCGATTGGCT